TACTTAATCAAAGCTTAAGCCTATATATGTAAATATATATATATATATATATATATATATATATGTATATATGAATGTATAAACAAATAATACATGTTCCTAGAACTAGAATGTCAAGTCCTCTTCTACCTGAATGGGGGGAGGGGGATAACTTAACCCCCTTGCATATTTTCCAGTTAAAAGGTGGATGCCTAAGTGTCCACTGCCCCTCTCCCCAGCCATTTTCAGAGCCCCGTGTAAACAATATCGAAAGTATTGTATAGGACAGAACGGGATTAAACTGCGATTCTTAAGTCTTCTTCTTCTTCTTTCGATCTTTCTGTCAGAAAACTTATATCAGGAGGCCGGTAGCCTTTATGAAAGCTATCGTGCAATCCATATCCTTTCGTGTACCATACAGTTTTGTCTTCATTGTTGTTGGAACAGGCCAGATTGCGTCTCTGTTGTCAGCATACAGTTGACAGTGTTGGAGCACATGCTCAGCATTTTCGGGTGCCACGCTGCAGGGATACGTCTCCGTATTTCCTACACCGAAAATTTTGAACATATGTTGACGAAATCTGTTGTGCCCAGTCCTTAGTCTGAATATAATACACTGTCCCTCTCTAGAGAAGCGATGAAGCGAGTCTTGGGGAGAAAATCTGGTGTGTGTATCCAGCCACCTTTCTTGGATACTAGATTGTATTAATGTTTGTCGTCTTTTGGTGGGTTAGGTCGCTATTTGGTTATACCATGTCACTGCCGCTTCTGGCCAATCTGTCCGCTATTTCATTGCCTTCCAAGCCACAGTGACCTGGAATCCACTGCAGTACAGATTGTTCTACCGAAGAGCCTAAGTAAATCAGCTGTTGCGTCAAGTCTACAAACCAAGTGTCTTTTGGGTTAACAATTGCTTGTAGAACTGACATAGCATCAGTCAGAAAGACCACTCTGCCATATTTGCTGTGCTGTTGTCCATTCAGGGAAAAACATGCCGCCAGAAATTGCTTCTGCTCTGTAATTGGAGGAATATGAACCTGTTGGTACAGCCTGGTTGATTTTTAAACCATTTGGGCATTCTACGTATATTCCTCCTCCTCCGTCTCTTACTGCTCTCTTGGCTTGAGCCATCTGTATACACTCGAATCCAACTCTGGTGTGGATAAAGTCTATTCATCTCTCCTTCTGTAGTTGATTTCATATCAGTGCTGCTCATTGATGATTTGGAGGAGATCCCTGTTACAGTAGTTCTGACTGTTGGCAGGCTATCCCTGAGCCAAGGGTGGGGGGGGGGGGGGCAGTCGTTGAAAGGTTTCAGTGGAACATTTGGTATTATGGGAGGGAGTTTAAGGACAGAGAGCCTGGCATTTGCGTTCTTAATAAAACAGGTTCTCTTTAGTCTAGCCTTCTGGGGTTTCTGCAGTCGGCTGTGCATGGGTTGTTCTTTAAAGTGATGGTATTTGGAGAGCTGGGTGAGGAGCTTTGTGTCTCTCCTATCTTCTAGATTGTGGAGACCAGTAATTGTTTCCATGTCTGATATGGGCGTGGAACGCATTGCCCTTGTCATAATACGGAGAGCATGGTTTTGGATCTTTGAGACATTCTGAAAATTTGATTTAGCTGCTGTGCCCCAAGCAGCTATTCCATGTTCTAGTGTTGGCCTCACATAGCCAGTATAGGTCCTTTTAAGTACACTGAGGTTTGCCCCCCAGTCTGTTCCAGCTAACTTCCTCATCAGTTGGATTCTATTGAGTCCCTTGCTCTGTGTCTTTTCTATCTGTTTTCTCCACGTGAGTCTTGGGTCAAATGTTACTCCTATCGGTGAATCATCATGTTTCAGTGCCTGGCTCCCATATGTAAGTGAAACTTTCTGGGGTTTGGTAGAAAGACTGAAAATGGTGTGTGTGGTTTTGGCCCCGTTTACGGGCATGTACCAACTATTGGACCACCTCTCTAGAGTTCCGAGGGATTCTTGAAGCCTTGTCTGTGCTTTTCCAGTGTCCTCCTCTGAACTCAGTAGCGCCAGATCATCGGCATATATAACAGCACGAACTCCATTACAGAGGGTTGACTTTATGTCGTTAATGTAAACTAGGAAAAGAATTGAGGACAGAACTCCGCCTTGTGGAACTCCATGTTTCATTGAGACTGATCTGCTCCTTAAACCCTGTATCTTGACTCTTGCAGATCGATTTTCAAGATATTTTACGATCCACCCAAGCATGTGATGGGATATTCTTAAGTGACGCATAACGGTTCGACACGATGATGATGATGAAACATGGGGAAACACTCTCGTCTTTGGAGCTATCACTAATTACAGAGAGTTACACCCCTTGTAACTACAGTCCGCGACCACGGAAAACGAACATACAAACTTGTGATGCCGACTGAAGGGACTTTGTTGAAATATAATAACCACAGCCGTGAAAACGCTGGTTAAATTTACACGTATGTAGGTGATACAAATGCCGTGAACAGTGACATTGCACCTTTCTTCTATAGTTGTTTGTTGCGTTATTAACTATTAAACAGTCAAGGACATAACATAAATTGAAATCAATGATAAACTTGCTTTGTGATTTTTTGTGTGGTCTCGTATTTTTTGCTTTGCTTCTAACTTTTTGTGGCTCTATACTTATCATACTCATGGTATGGCTATCACCGCGTCATACTATGACACTATTGACACGCATTTGTTTAGTAAATTTTAAAGCACCACCTTGCGGCTGAGTGAGTATTTTCAACGGAATGGTGGCACTTTGTGTCACCAGATGTAATCACTGGTTGCGGTTAAACGTTATTCACTTACTCCTTATAGTATGTTATACAGATATCCTCCTAATAACGCCCACATATTATGGCGGTCAAAAACAGGGCCTCAGTCACATGTAAATTGCCGACCTCCAGCGACTATACCGCCACCGCCGAGAGTATCTCCAGTGCAGCGTCGAGTGGGGCTAAGCTAGATTGCTGGGACTCACGAGCAAAGCTGCAGGTGGTGCGGAAGCTGCTGCTCATGAGTCCCTGCCATCTAGTTTAGCCAGGAGATCATTTTAACGGTAGCGGTATAGTCGCCGGTCTGCAATTTAAGTTGCCGGAAGTCCGCAATTTACATGTGACTGAGGCCCTGTCAGAGTGTGTTTTTGGTCGCCAAAATATGTGGCCGTTATTCGGAGGATAGCCAGTTATACTATACTTATTACTTACATTTCCTGTCCAAGAGAAATACCAGGGAAGAACATGGCATTTTTTATGGAAGTTTTTTTTTTTTACAAATAGCTAGAAGAAATACCAAAAAAGACAGCACTGGTTTTTAAGCAACCGCTGTTCGCTTGTGAGAACCATGTTAACTGGCTTATGCCACATCTCGGTGGCCTTTGTTTCCGCACCTTTCTCAGCATAATCTGTGAGTCAATTACAATCACACAAGTGTGTACAGCTGATTCTCAAGCCAGCGGAAGGCAGCAGTGACTGCCTCCACCTCCATTCTCAAACTAGACATTGTGATATCATATGCCAGGCTTTGTTGCACGAAGCGATGACCATTGGTTTTTGCTATGAACCCCGATGCGCTTTGTCTGCCCCAAACACAGAGTCTTTTATGATATACTTGTTAGAAAGGCAGTATGTCTCCCCCCCCCCCCCCCCCCCCCCCCCCCCTCCCCCAATTGGACCCTGGAACCTATTTTTGAATTTAAAATCAAAAGTGTATATGGCTTTAAGAAACAAATGATTATATATTTTTTCTATGTTTGCCTGTTTGCCCTTAAAGGGTTGTTGGCTTGTGTTAGTATGTGGTGGGGGCGGGGGATTTTACAGATAGGCTGTGATATCTACGCCTTTTGGCCCAACACATCTGATTTCAGCAGTTAAATTATGCTTGATAAGGAGCATCCCGTGTGGGTTCTAAGTTCAACTAATTATTGATGGTTCCTCTGAAGTGTTGAAGTGCATCTGCCTGAGAGGCGAGGAGCCAACAGTCTGCAAACATATAAGCCAGATCTGTAAAATGGATGTACACACAAAACTCAAGTTCTAGAACAAGATTCTATCTATCTATTGTCTTCTTCACTTTTACCGGGTTGCAGCCCAGTGTCGTGGTTTAAAATATTTGTTTTGTGCCTCTCGCGTGATTTGAGTGACAGTTTTCTGGATCTTCTGGCCGTATTCAGCTACTCCATCTATCCATTTTTTCCTGGGTCTTCCTCTGGCCTTTCTTCCCGATGTTCTACTGTAAAAGGCCTTATAAGCAATCTGATCCAGTTGCATTCTTACTAAATGGCCAAACCACTTCATTCTCTGTCTTTCAATATGTTCCATGCATGCTCTTGTTCCAACTTTGTCTCTAATGCTGACGTTTGTGACTCTGTCTCTTCGTGTATTGTTGGTGACTCTTCGGAGACATCACATTTCACACGTAGTTATTTTTTGCATATGTGATTTGTTCATTGTCCACGTTTGGCACTGATAACATAACGTAGGGATGAAAATGCTGTTTTGGAGAACAACAAATAGACCCCTTGTCCCCCTCCCCAACAAGATGTCATAGCAATAAGGAATGTTTCCTTTGAAGCCGGAGAGCATCTTCGTGAGAGACAAGGATCCAGCAATCTGCATACAGATAAGTTAAATCTGTCAAATGGTTTTTCGTGCAAAACTTAAGTTCTAAATCAACACCAAACTCCAGGAGTGGACGAACCGTCAGAACTTCCTGCAGGAGTTTACAGCTGGTGAACACAAAGGAGAAGAAGAAAAGGAGCAGTAATTCTATTCTTTTTCTTTTTTAAAAATGGGGCCTCAGAACCTGCATGAGGAGACTCAGTATAGCATACTTTACTCTGTACCCAGTGAGTTCAACATTATGAGAAAAACAAACCAACATTTTACTTATTTGTAAGAATTCAATATTGCCTTTTATTTCTCATCAGCATAAAATAATTTCACCACATTGCTGAGTGGTGATGACTGATACAGGAGAATCTTAACATTGTCACCAGTTTACTGCAGAGATACTCACCATGAGGTGGATGAGGCAGCTGGTTCGAGGCACACTGCTGTTTATTCCGCCATACATGGCTTTCAATGATATATTCTTTTCTATCAGAACTGTGGATGGTGTATCCATGCAGGTGAGTGGAATAAACTATTTAAATAGAGTATTCATCATCATCATCATTAAGTGCCTTGCCAGCTGGCATACGTATCATGCATCTCCACAGATCTCAATCTTTGGTGTTCTGGATCAATTCCACTGATGACATTCCTCCATGCCACTGTCTTAAGCCGTCCACCATCATTTCTCTTGGTCTACCTCTGCTTCTTCTACCAGTGATCTTTCCAGTCGTCCTATTTTCCAGTACTCGGTTTCTTATCTCATGGCCAAAAAACTTTGTTTGTCACCTTCTCATTGTTGTATATAATATTCTACTTTCATTAGTGATTTCCAGGCAGTCATTGTTAGTTATTTTTTTGGTCCAAAATGAAGGACTAGGCATGGCAGAATGTTTAGCCTTGAGTTATTTTTTTTATTCCTACAGCGCTTTGCCAATGCAGTTTCCACATTTTGACGGAAGTCTACGGTTTTGTTGCCTGAGCTACTGAGTTTAGTGCTTAATGCAGCACTGTGAGCTGTGTTTTTCATGTGGGATGCCTTTCATTTGTGCAGCAGTTGAGACATGGTATTCAGTATGCCAGTAGCCTGTGTACGTGTGGGCTGGTGAAATACCTTATGTAATAATTTTACTTGTGTATAACTCACTTATCACGTCCAACTACTTCCATCAACAACAGACTTTATTTCTCGTGGCGACTATTGGCTATGGTGCCTCTAGAAACTGCCTTATGCATGCGCGCTGTGTGCGCATATTTCTGGATTAAGCAGGGACTAAATGTTTGTTCACCATGTTTTTCGAATTGGACAGTAAGGAACATATTATTTGATTTTTACGAGAAAAAGAATGGAGTAAGTATTGTGTGACCTGATTGCAGTGAAGTTGAAATCTCGACTAAGACTAAGACATCTTTCTGGAGGTGGCACACAATTTAAAAATGGGGGATAGTGTTCATATTGGGTCAACACCATTTAAGTGCCATTAGGTACAATGGACTTATTATATTATTTCTCATCATCATCAATCAGAAAGTCCTTTCACAGCATCCCTTTCTAAGCCTTAATACATATCAAAGTCTCTCTACCCCTCTCCCTCCCCCCTCTCTATATCTCTGTCGCAGGATACCTTAACATCTAATATCTCTTTTCTGTGGGCTAAATAAACATAATCTATCAGCCTTTGTGGATCAGTGTACTTTAATATTGCTTTTACATCTTGCAATAAACAGAGTTAATATTGTTCTTAATTGTTTTGATACAGCCAACCCTAAACCCTGAGGGAAAGAATACAGATTTTGTTTTGTTGGATAGATGGGCTGCTGCTAACTTTCAGTTTGAAAGGGGAGATGTTGTTTCACTCATGTGAGTACTGCATTACATCATAATTTATGCATGAATATTATGTAAACATTTCATAGTCATTTTCTCTTATATACAGCATAAATAGTCTTTAAAAAATCTTGCATTTTCACACATGCAGCACTGCAGGATTTTTTAAATTTTTTATGTCAACTTATGTTTGTAAATTATAATTTCTTCAGTATAACTGTTTAAAAAAGCATGGAATCCATAGCAGATCTTCAAAAGTAAGAGAGCTCCTTGGGTCTGGTGGTTGTTAGATTTTTTAGTGCCAACTTTTGTTTGTAAATTATAATTTCTTCGTTCCCATGGGGGTTCTGGAGTTATTGTGTTGCTCTTATGGACAGATACAAAGAATAATGAAGATTTTTTTGAAAGAAACTGACACAGAGAGAGCCATTCGCCCACATCCGACAGAGGCAATCTACATTCTTTGGTTGTGTCAGGAGAAGGAGAAAACTGAAGTGCATTGTGACGGTGGGGAAGTTGGAAGGAGAAAGAGGTAGAGGGAGACTGGGGGAGAAGATGCTGGACAGTTTGACATCCTGGCATGAAAGATCGTCAGTTAAAATTGATTGAAAGAACACAACACAGAAGGTTTTTGGATAGACATGACTTACCAACACCTCATGGCATGGACTGTAAGAAGATTCTTTGCTTCTCCTACTGACCCTTGTAACTGCCAAAAAAAAAAAACTGCCAGTAACTACCTTTATTCTACCACTTTTGCGGTGTAGGCAGGGGGGTCTTTAAGCCTGAAGATTTTCAGCCGTATGGCTAGTGCTGTCACAGTGACTGAGGATTTTATTTTTCCCTCGACAGAAAAAATCTCAGTCTTACTGAGGATTCGAACTCGGGTCTCCGCCTTGAGAGTCCAGTAGTTTCTAATTATTCGGCCAGCCGCTCTTCCCCTTTATAACACAAGCTGATTATCACATATCATTTTCTTCTGTACACATTTGTGGATGCCTGTAACCTTTGCTTTTCCTCTTGACTAACCTTATATGAATATATGACTCAGCATTTAGTGTGTGCCATTTCAGCTCCCCAAAAGATCCCTCACAGTGGCTGATTAAGCGGGTCATTGCTCTGGAGGGTGATCAAGTCAAGTGAGTATAAGATATTTGGACAGTATGACTTGTATGTTCAGACATGGAGTCGATGATTAACACCTGCCACACTGGATGTGGAGAACATCATTTGTCAGACTTTTGTTTTGTCTTCCCTGACCATAGACACTTCGTACTTTTGTAGTTTCCCTGATATATTCCATCATTAAATAGTGCTGACACAAACAGTGCATTGCTGTATCTCATCAGGTGCATTTCTGTAGAGTTACATCAGCACATAATGAAAAGTGCATGTGATCATTTTGAAACTTCCAATGTAATCGCATGACTAATCTTTAATTTCTGGTGGAGAGATGTACAATTTAACCACAGAAATTGTGATTTGTATATTTCAGTAGGAAAGGATTCATTTATGGGGAGGGACCAAGATGAAAATCGTAATTTTGACCATTTTGGGTTTCCGTTCATAATTCACAATTGTTCTTAGTAGAAAACAGCTGTGCAAACGGAGTTTTAAAAGGAATGCGTTTTAAAGCTCTATTTCTGCATTCTTTGAAGCATGTGTAGCTTATTTATCTACATTTTCATGCTCATTACGTATGCTCAAACTTTGAAATATTGTTTCTCTATTAATAGTTGACCTAGAGACTTCATTTAAGTTGCAAATTGTTCCGTTTCATAAGGCCCATACAACCAATTTCATGAGACACAGCATACAAGAACGAATTGCATTGGTCCATCTATAAAGGATACGCTTTATTCAGCCAGTCAGTGCACTCATTTCATACTAAACTTTCAAGGCCGTTTTCTCAAGGTAAAGTTTTCGTACATGCGCGTTACGGTTGTCAAGATAATTTCCAAACTATTGGGCCAAATCAAATAAAATTTGGAGGACAGGCTCTTTGGTAGATTGCCATTTTTAGAGGACCCACACTTATGGTCAACATGTAACTTGAGTTATAATTTTATGAAAATTTAAAACACATTTTGGACCTCAGTATAAGAAAATCTGACACACATACAGAAAATGACAATGGTTAAGATCATAGCTTAACTATATTTGAACACGTAAATAAAGTTACAGCTGCATACATAATTACCTTTTTAGAAGGATTAACATCGCTACTGCAACTAATTTGCTCAAATTTACTCATCACAAAAATATGTACCTTCATCAAATGGAAATAAGTATGAAATTAACACATATACATTTATTTCTCTGTGATTTATTGTTTATGTGATAGATAAGAAAGGCCCATGCAAAATTTGATAGAGATCTGACCATATTTAGATATCTTTAACAATTTGCAAAAACTGGCCTAATTTATGATTTTCCACCTTGTTCCCTCCCCTTATATGTTTCATTGTAGGGTGGTTATCAAATAAATTCTCATTATTTTGTTGTTGTGAAACAGGTAGTGTTATCACACCACTGTATTTACTATTTCACTAACTGCAAAGTGTCAAGGGTTTATGATTGTTTCAAGCCATTTCTTTTTGGGTCTGGCACTAGTTATCCACTGACTACCTCGATCACACATTATAAGATCTGCTGATGTTTACACCTGGCTGCCATGATTGCACCCCTTGCGATTGTGACTTTGGACACAGCCATGTTGAAATTGTGATTTTGCGATAAATATAGTTGAAGCCATTTGTCCATTCCTTTCATGTTTATTTAAGGGACAAAATTTGGTAATGCTTAATGTATATTTTCCACGAATTTTTATATTTATAAAAATGCAAAATATTATGAATTTATGTCAAATAGCAGTGAAGCTATAGTATTTTGGTTAGTTTATATTGCTGTCAGAAAAAAAATGTATGGTTACCTTTCTTGCACCAATCTACAGTCACATTACGATCATGTACAACAAGATTACACATTTTTTTTAATTCTCTGAGATTGTTCTGCATTCAGTTTGGTGCAAAAATGAAAAATATGATGAGTTTTATATAAATAATTGTGAAGCTATGGCATTTTTGTTAATCTATATCACTGGCAGATTGGTTGTTGTTGTTGTTTTTTTTTTTTTTTTGCACCAATGTTTATCCACATTATCATGATGTCAAACAAAATCATGCAGTTTTTGTTCTCCATTCAGTTTGGGGCAAAAAAAATACAAAATATTATGAGTTTATGTCAAAAAGTTGTGAAGCTATGGCATTTTGAGTAGACATTAAAATATGTGGTATCCGGGAAGGTGCAAGGGTTAATGGGCTTTGGTAGTCAGTGGGTTAATATGACTGCTTGACGAAACTAATAAATTGCTCAGGCGGTACATTATGTGATAAGCGGCCCACAATGAGAGTGACTTTCCTTCTAATTGTTACCTCAATCTGGTGTAGGGCCTGCTCTATGTCACAGAGGTTTCAGGCGTGGTGAGTCTTATTTTACTCCTCGTTGTCAGTGGCCGGCGATATCGCGTCTTCTGTGCTATGAGCACTTCTAACAGTCCCAAGACATGTACAACTGGGGCCAACACACCCCCCCCCCCCCCCACCACTTCACAGCCTATTTCCCACGACTGTATACAGCCTCTGTTGTACGCTGCATATAGTTATATGACCTAAAATGCACCCCTGCGACATAGTACAGGCCCTACACAAGATCGAGGCATCAATGGGATGGGAAGTCACTCTCATTGTGGCCACTTAACTTGATTTGAACCACTTTTATTTACTTTTACAGTCAGTCTTATTTAAATGGAGGAACACTTGAGGGCAATGAATCGGTGATGTAAGATGAACAAGTAGTCTCTTGGTCGCTCTCATTCAACTAATGGATCTCTCGCTCAGTAATTCCTGGCACAAAGTCTGATAAGTTCCAGGTCAACCACTCTAAGAATGTAACTAAGGTTTGCACCTGAAACACAAGTACGATTTAAGTATCCTTTGCTAGCACACTACACCAGCACAAAGTCTAAACGCTTCCCTGTCAGCCACTTAAAGACTCTAATCAAGGTTTGTACCTGAAAATAAATGCAATTCAAGTATGCTCTGCTAGCACACTATATCAGCACAAAGTCAGAACAGTTCTCCCCAGTCTCAACAACTGGATAGAACACAATGCACTCTTGTACTATTATGTCCTGATGGCTGCTGTGGGCACCTCCTGGCCGACTGCACAGAATCCATCAGTCACTGATGGCTGTGGCCTCCCTCTGGTGACTCTCTATTTAAGAGACCTGCCTTCTGAGGACTTGAGGTGGTTGCGTCGTCTGATGCCTTTCACACCTGGAAGTGTTCCCTGACGCTTCCCCATCACAACTTCACACTGGTCAACACAGTTGCCACAGTCAACCAGCATGACACATAGATGCACCAGTGCTGTGCTGACCCCACCATACATGAGCCAACACTTACTCCATCCTTTGACGAATATCTACACTGACAATAATCAGAACTACACTTTCTAACACATCATATTCAGATACGCCATCCAGGCTCTCCAACAGAATATAACACTTGTTTAAAACTGTCACATAATACAAACATGTGCCTGGTCTCTTTCACTGACTGAAAGGTGCAGAATCAAACATGCCAAGCACCCACCGCAAGTGGTCAGTTAAACGTAGATCTCACTTTCCGCATACAACTCAGGGTGTTTGCAGTCACCTGTGAATATCAGGCAACAGATGTTCCGCACTCTTCCAGTGACACAAGTATTTACCCGTACTTCACCCACTCATATGTACACTTGGACACCCATCTGACCTCTGGCATAAATGCAATCAAATAGCCCAGTTAGAGCACAATAGTTATGTAGAACTGAGAACTTAGTGACCAGGGAAGGGGGTTGGCAAGGAGGGCAACGTGATGCATATTTTGATGACTTGGCCATGTGAGTAAAATGGAACAAGACAAGAAGTCCTATAGGAAATGGGGGGTGTCTCTGGCAGTGTTCAGACATTTGTCTTGCACTTTGAAGGTTAGGGGTGCATTTAACAGTTTATGAAGAGTGCATTTAACAGTTTATGAAGAGTGCATTTAACAGTTTATGAAGAGTGCATTTAACAGTTTATGAAGAGTGCATTTAACAGTTTATGAAGAGTGCATTTAACAGTTTATGAAGAGTGCATTTAACAGTTTATGAAGAATGTTTTTGCAGAGATCATTGGGATACCGAGTTCCTGCTTTGTGCAGTGCTCGTGGCAGGCAGCTAGCAGTTCTGCTAACAGAGGACGACTCATAAGGGTTACAAATTTCTACTGCAGTGAGGCACATCCCCCTCAACTTTAACTTTGAACTAGATATTGAATGCAATGCTGGTTAATATATGAAATGACGAACCGTGATTGCTGACTTTCATTGACATGGCACATGATAATGATGACGGCGTTTTGCTTGTTGTCTCCACAGAAGTGATAGTTGTTTTGAGGAGGATGTCAACGTTCCCCGCGGCCACTGCTGGGTGGAAGGAGACAATCGTGAATGTAGCTTGGACAGTAACAACTTTGGTCCGGTATGATATGCAATCATTTTATATATTTGTTCTTATTTGCAGTGTTCATTCTTCTTCTTTGACTTCTTTTTATCCATAAAGCTGATTATGAATTGTTGATGTACCTTCATGTATGAGATTAGGTCTGTAATTAGGTGCGGATATGGAAACACTGTTTCCTCATTCTAAATGTGCCTTTACAAGGGCAGTTGGCAAGTTGTGGTTTGCAGCTAAGTGTCGCACTTTGCTATAGACCAAGCGTAGGGAGCTGCAAAGAGGAGACAACTGAGAGAAAACCGGCCTCAGAATAATGAGCATCAGCAGCCACATCATATTCTTTATATTCCCCACGGGGGTTCCAGGGCCCAATTGGGAGTGAGGGGAAAGACACTTCCCCCTCAACAAGCACGTTGTAAAAGGCAACTTAGTAAGGGTGTCTTCTTGAAAGTCTGAGTGCTTCTGCCTTAGAGGCAAAGGAAACCAACAGTCTGCAAATAAATAAGCCTTGTCTGTAAAGCAGATGTGCCTGCAAAACTGAAGTTCTGAAACAAGACCAGAAGTGGACATACAATTAAATGGAAGAAGTACGTCTCAACTTATTTTAACCAGTTGTTTACAAGCACTTTGTACATTATTGGTACCATTTTGTATTATTTTCTCCAGGTATCCTATGGTTTGATTACAGCCAAAGCTTCATACATTCTCTGGCCCCCTTCTCGATGGGGTAAACTGGATAAATTGGCCATAGCTCAGGGCAGGGTGACAACGAGAGAGAATGTGGATAGGGGCAAAGTGTTTTTTGGATGGGACAGTTAAAAATTATGCTCATATATGTTTTTTTTTTTTCATCTGGTGGCATCAGTGCAATTAAATCATTTCGTACCAGGCCCTAATAGTCGTCGTCATTTGCCATGACTGTAAGCAGTTGTATTCGTTCGTTTACCATTTCACGTAATCAATCTTGTATATGTTCTCTTCTCTATTATAGCATGTGGCGAGGCCTTTTAGGTATATTATCTTTTTCTTCCCTTAGCTCTTTTCTCATAGTTTGCCAGTTGCTATTAAACTTTAGTAATTTTTTTCTTTTTATAGTCCATTCCTGTTTGGCGCTGGTAGTCATGTCTATCCACAGCCTTCTGTCTGTGTACTTTCAGTCAACTCTGACTCAGATGATCTTCAATGCCATGATGTCAAACTGCCCAGCTTCTTTTCTCTCGGTCATCTCTGCCTGTCCTCATCTCCAACTTTCCTACCATCACGATGTACTCAAGTTTCCTTCGTGAGTCAGTTTCTCTCAAGACATCCTCATTGCTCTATTTATCTGTCACCATCCATCTATAAAACCACATTTCCGCAGCTTCCAAATAATTTTTTTTTTACTAACCTACCAACTGTCCGTGATTCGCTTCCATACAACAAGATAGGATTTATGTAGATTTTAAGAATTCTTTTTCTCGACTCAATTGACAAAGAAGATTACATAAAATATACATCATTTTGTAAAATGCTGCCTTTGCTTGAGCTATTCTACATTTAACTTTTTTAATACACCTTCCATCTGATGTTATCAGGGAACTCAAGTACTTAAACATATGAACTTGCTTGAGGTTTGTTCCATTTACTTCGAGTTGCACTTTGGAGGGTCAGTTTTCTTTGTAATTACTATTACCTCTGTTTTTCTACTGCTCAGACTAATCAGTTTTAAGGAAAAAAAAATAAAAAAGTTGCTTCAGGCATATGATAGAATCACATTTTTATAGGCCAGTCAACATATCGATGGGTTATGGGTCTACATCGTGCCAGGTGGAAGCAGTTATTCATTATTAACCACATCTGCCTTTCTTTTAAAAGTACGCCGACTTTCATTAATCAGCTGCCTTCTACTCCGCAAAGGCCCTCAACCCCCACACCAAAGCATTCTATCCTTTACTAGCGCGCTCCACGTCTTCTCTGTTTTATACTTGACCGGTGCCGTCGGAATTGGAACCCTTCGCTTGCTGCCGCAGATGTCCTGATCATAGTACAGCTAGAGTGTTCTTGCCCTGGAACCCACAGGAGCCAGTGAAATAAAGGAAGACCAAAACAAAAACATGCACGCAAAAACAGAGAAAAGATTTAGAGACAGAAATGGGTAAGATGAGAACACAACAGTGATCTACATGAGATAGCAAAGGATGGGAGGGCTTGGCTTGAGTTTACCACATGACACAGCAAGGTGAGGTGAAGGAGAACGGTACATTAGTGTTTGACTAGAAGTTTATGAAAATGTGGTACTTCAGTTTGAATTCACCCTCAACCAAAGGAATCCCTGAGTTCCTGGGAGTCCAAAATTCTAGCGGTGTTTTTGGTTAGGATCTTTGTGTACCCCGACCACCTCAGGGACACTGATAACCCTAACCCATAACACCCCTAGAACATTGGACTTTCCCGGGAACTTGAGGACTTCCTGTGTTTAGGTGAATTAAAAATAAAGTACTGAAAATGGCATCTTTAAAAAAAAAATGGTTTTAAACATGTTCTGTAAGCAGATATAAGAATACTTCTGCTTTTTAAAAAATTTATTAGGAACATGTAAAGTATTTATTACTTCAATTCATTTGTATACCAGATGCACGTAATACATTATTCTGTTAAAAGCATTTTGTTACAGTGTGCTTGATTTGGTCGAGAGCAGTGTCTACCAGATGCAAATAATTCTGCTGCAAGTAGATGCATGTAATTCATGATTCCTTTGAGAGCAGATTTTGTAAGAAGCACATATTTCATTATTCTGTTGCGAGCAGTGTCTAGCAGACGCATGTAATTCATGATTCTATTAAGCAGTGTAAAGCAGACGCATGTAATTCATGATTCTATTAAGCAGTGTCTAGCAGACGCATGTAATTCATTATTCTATTAAGCAGTGTCTAGTAGACGCATGTAATTCATGATTCTGTTAAGCAGTGTCTAGTAGATACATTAATTCATGATTCCGTTGACAGCAGATTTTACCATGGGCACATACTTCATGATTCCGTTGCGAGCAGTTTACCAGGTGCATATAATACGTTTCTGTTGCGAACAGTGTTTACCAGATGCATGTAATTCATCATTCTATTGACAGCTGTTCTATCAGATGCACATAATTCATAATTCTGTTGAAGCAATGCGTATCAGATATCATTTTTTTAAAAATAAAATAAAATATGTCTATAAAAGATATAAAATTCTGGTGTGTTTTCATCCCGAAAGAATGTTTCTTATTAGGGATGAGGTCAGCTATATTTATTTGACCCCGCTTTGTTCTGGGACCCAATTTTGGGGGGGGGGGGGGGAGAGGAGATGAATAAACCCACTGCTCCCCCCCCCCCCACCCCCCCCCCCCCCCCCTCAACAAAGCATGTCATGAAATGCAACTAACTATGAGTTTGCTGAAATTGGATATGTTGTGCCAAAAGCCACAGATATCACAGGTTAGCTGTAAAATCACAACACAGTAGGGCCAACTGCCCTTTTAAGGGTGGACACAGCAGATTAAGTTGACCCTGATCATTTGTGAAATGATCTGGCTATATTTTGTGAGAATAGATGCACACAGTGTCCACATGTGAGGCAAATAAGTCCAGTATTTGGCTTTGATGTACACAGTGGTGAAATCTACAGAATAAAGTCCAGCTTTTTTTTTTTTTGGGGGGGGGGGGGGGGGGTGTCCATTAAAGTGCAGATTATGTTCACATTTGCTTAAAAAAAAGTGCACTTTTGGGCAATAATTCAGACAGATAATGTTCAGATTTGCTGAAGTCCAGTTTTGGGCATTAGTGCAGATAATGTCTGGATTTGCTGAATAAAGTCCAGTTTTGGGCATTAGTGCAGATAGTTTGTTTCCAAATTTGCTGTATAAAAGTATGTGTGTGTGTGTGTGTGCGAAAGCATGCACGGGGGGTCCGCTCCAGGCTGCTACCTGAAAGTTCAATAGCCAGTGGCAGCCAGCGTGCAATGGATCACAAATTATTCCTGAAATGATTTATACAAAACAGAGAGCAAAAGAGTTCCCTTATTTTGGCACTTCTCAACCTGCCAGTCGCGACCTTTTTTTTAGGAAAGGGGAAGGGGGGGGGGGGGTTGAACATCCCTTTCACAGGGGTCACCTAAGACCATCGAAAAACAATTATAGAAGTTATGAAAGAAAATAATTGTTTCGGGGTAGCCACATGAGGGAACTGCTATTAAAGGGTCGCGGCATTAGGAATTTCGACAGCCACTGCCTTATACGTCTGTTTAAAAAGGACTGGAATATGGGAGTTCTGTTGAGTTAAAGAACCGACATCACAGCGCTGGTGACTGCATTTACTCCAGCCAGCAAAGAGTTCCAGTGCCAATTTTAATGTATGTCCTTCTTGCCTTTCATATCAGTTTAGAATGTCAACCGGATCTCCTGGTCACTCACAGCTGCATCAGTCTCTCTGGACCAAAATGGTTTGTTCAGGCCTCTTTGTTTCACAGCGCAATCCTCTGCATTTACTAGGGTCAGATTCCTGCAATCAGTGGCATGAGAAAAGATCATTCTTGTGGCTTTTTGACAATTCAGTCACATACTGCATCAGAAATTCTTAGTGCAAATTGACAAACAACCACTGAAATTGCAGAATTTTATTTCAGTTAGGTTGGGACCTCACCAGGATTATTTCGGCCCAAAAAAAAAAACTATTGTTTTAAGACAGAAGATTTGTCGGTTGGCTTTTTTTCTCCTTTTTTCACCAAATTATAGTCGTCACATAAGAATGACATAAAACAAGATTATGCAATCTGGTATCTTGAAATTTGTTCTCCTTTCAATTTCATGCAGAAGTCGCATGGCGTAGCAGCTCGACGCTCGCATGGGGATCAGAAGGTCCTGGGTTCACTCCCTGGCGGAGCAGGACTTTCTTAAAAAATGATCTTGATGCTCAGGTTGACCAAGCCTTGAGTGGGTACGGGGTGCAGTCCCAGGAAGTAAAGGTGGTCGGCGTGATTCTGACCCATATTACTTTTTTTATTTACTCAATTTGGTGCGCGGCGTCCGGGGCTTAGGCGTTGCGAGCCCGACTCTTAATTCCAACGTGCCGCGATTGAAACCCACTGCTGGCTGCGTGGATTTTTATTGTGGTATGGGGCGTCGCAGGTCAACCTAGCGCAAAGTGGGTACCAGGATGGCTGTCCTGGGAAGTAAAGACGGCCGCCGTAATGCTGACCATATTACCAGCCTAGGGCTGACGTTCTGTAAAAATATGGGCACTCTTTCCATATGCCCGATACGCCTAAAAGCGTGACAAGGGATCTTTACTTTTTTTTTTCTTTTATAATTTGGTGCAGAAATGCAAATTATTATGAGTTCATGAAAATTGTTGTGAAGGTATGTATTTTTGTTAGTCAGTGGAATACTATTATTTCGACAGATGGAAGACAACATGAAACATCACAAACAGTATTAAAAAAACTGCAGAACTTCTCAAATAAACCAAATATGTTTCTGAATTTAGTATTGACAAATCACACAACTATAACGTTCACATATAATTCAACAATAAATATGTGACTTGGTTTTTCAGTATTACGGCATTACTGATTAATTAGAAGAAAAAAGTCGGCGTCTGTGGCTTAGGCGTTGCGAATGCGCTTTGTAGTGCCGTGCTTGATCCCAGCTGCAGAGGGTTTGTCTTGCGTTGGTTATGACAGTGGTACCAAGAGCTGACCATTCAGGGGCGGTGGTATGTGCAACTACCGATCTGTTGTAACTGCTTCTTCCACCGATGATTACCTGCATTTCTAATGTCTGTGTTGGCACTTCTTTATTTCAG